CCAAACCATTTTTAGGGGGGAGATAATCCTAGGTTTCCCCCAGAGGAACATTACCCCCCCCCCCTTTAATCCCACCCCCATCTGCCCAGTCAGCTGTCTGCTTTCTGACATCAGGCACATGAAATGCATCCTTCGTCTCCGGTCGTATGTATGGTCGAGTATGACGGGCCGGCGGAGGAGCCGGGCCTCCACTTTAATACGACACCAGTCAGTTCTGTCTCAGAGTAAATGAGTCCAAGGGTTAAATATAATATGAAAACAACTGTGTAAAATTGTAGTCTTTTGCATTACAAAAGTGAACAGTAGGGGGCGAGGATGTCATCTCAGAACACCTCTGGATTTTACACACACACAGACAGATCAATCGAAAGACATATTCCTGATGGGAAACAGCCCCACCTACATCCCAGTCTTTGTCATCGCCCTTCAAGGCTCATAAATCAGCCTATAATTATATGCAGGCGTGGTGACTAAGTCCAGGGACCATGTGGTCCGACAGCTGACCACAGCATCGGAGACTGGGTGAATCCTGATACAGAGTGACAGGCTGCCATTTTCAGACTTTCCCGTCTTGGCAGCTGCATCTGAAGACATCGACTCAGACACGCTCGGAGTTTGAAGCAGAATGAAGAAACAGGAAGTCAGCTGCTGCAGAACACTGGCTCTGTGGTTAACATAATCTTTTTAGTTAGAACGGAGCGTGATACTTCTTTACAGGCTGCGAGACGCCGACTGTCTGACGGTGAGGACAGACGGGTGCCGTGCTCACACACCCTCATACAAACACTGGAGAAATGCTCTTTGACCTTAACTTTACCCTGAAGCGAACCTTATTTTGTTTTTGCCTCAGAAACTCATCATCAGTTCAAGGAGCTTCTCCTGCAGTAACAAAGACCAGCCCTCATAAAGTCAGTGTGTAAACAGGTCCCTAAAACACTGACACACACTCACCCAGGCTGTGGGGGTGTGTACACTCTCCCTGAATGAGCCCCATCTGTGAGCTGCTGTGAAACAAAAGTAGAGTTCTGTTTGGTGACACAGCCGCTCCGTGTGTGTGTGTGTGTGTGTGTCTTACTCAGCTGCACTCTGTCACAGATGGTGAAATCTGTCTCTGATTGACCCTCTCTACTACTTCTGTCTCTAACCTTCCTGCCCCCTCCCCCCCCCCCCCCCCCCCTGGGGTATCACTAAACAATGCAGCGGAGGAATGGAAGCTGCCCGAGGTCCAAACTGAACCTGGCCCAGTTCCCAGCTGACATCATGTGGCCCAGAGGCCTTTTTGGAAGGCTTCATGTTTGTGTGTACAGTGAAGCAGCCAACAAACCTGTTTCTATTATCTACACTACCAGCTGGCGTGCAATAACTAAAGGCAAACAACGGCGTACACCAAGAAGAAGAAAGACGAAAGAAACAAAAGCCGGTTCACGTTAAAGAGCAAAGACCTCGTCATAAAGACACTGAACCAAATGATCATGTTCAGTCAAAGGATGAATCCATGTCCAAGGTTAAACATTTTAAATCATATCATTGGTGCTGGTGGTGAGTGATGAGGTCGTGACCTGGACCGCAGCTCACACAGACGTCAGACGAGCAGAACACAAACAGGAACCTGAACTCACCTCGCTGCGACGTTCCCTCTTCTTCCTGATGATTATTTCTTTATGGCTCGGAAATAAAATCCAAAGGCAGTTTGGTCTCAGCTGCGATGATTTGAACACGAGGGAGGATTTTCACTCACAGCTTCCACTGCCTCTGCAGCCATAGGCTACAATCTACCACTGACATCCCATCAGTGAGAGACGGAGAAGGGGAAGAGAGAGAGAGAGGGAGAATTTGTCTGTGTTTGAGGAGTAGTTGAAAGAGAGAGAGGAAAAGAAGAGGAGGAAAGATTGATGACTCTGTCAGTCCTGTGTTTGTTTGGAATAAAAACGGGGGAAAGATGTTCTGTTTAGATTTCTAATTACAACTTTTTATCAGTTGCCTGCAGCAGCTGGTGAGACTGATTGAGACACACACACACACACTTGCCCTTGTGCTGTGTGTGTTCTTGTTGTAAGGGGGAGGGGGAGTGAAGCACTCAGACAAGATTAAAAGTGAAACCAGAGACCAAACAGTGAAAACAGGAGGACAAATAAAGCAGCGAGGAGCAGATGTTTCGTCCATAAAGACGGTTCCTACCTCCTCTGTCTCCTCTCCTTCACTCCTTTCTTCAGTCTTGGTGGTTTATATTTCACCTGACAGAAACATGACAAAGAGAAAGAGCTTTGAAAAAGTATCTGATCAAGACAACTTTTAAAAATAGCTGCTGGGACGACTGATTGAGTTGTTTTTTTGTTGTTTTTTTTTTTTTGGTGAAGTCAGTCAACATTCTAACATTCATGCTTTTACTTTAACAATTATTTACTGAATGTCACTTACATCTGCTCTCAATGCAACAACCAGTCCTGCCTCCCGAGGAACAGCCATTCCAGGAGGAGGAACACCGTCTTCAGCTTTCCCAGGAACGTCTTTTCACTTGTCCCTGATGGATAAATTCAAATGCCATGTTAACAATGTTGGAAAAGTATAGAAAATAAAAAACAGAGGTGTTTCTCTATAAAGTCTTCATTTAGAGTCAATTCCTTCTTTGTAGAACTCAGATGGATGTCTTTTAAACCAGGACATGACCAGTTTTTTTTGTCTCATCTAAAGAGACAAAGACGTTTTTGATGGCGCTCCGTGCTGCAAACATGCTACAAAGATTCAATCATTTGAACAGGATTTAATTGTTCACGTTTTAAATGTTATTGAAGTCAATCTTTGGATGATATAGTATAGAATTTGTTGACTTACCATTTGATTCCCAATCTTTTCACTTTGAATTTCTTACTGATTCCCTTCTTTTCTGTCTTTGTTCACTGCACACCTGCTCCTCATCTGCTTGATTACTGCTCCTCCTCTCAGCTCCTCACTGCAGATCAACTCAGATCATCTGCCTCTCTACAGCAGCTCTAGAACACAGCAGAACAGTACAATGTTTTTGAATGTTGCAGTAAACACTAAAAAAGTCATGGAAAATCCCATACATACAGAGAAGGCTGTAAATATAGGATGAGAACTGGTGACCTTTTCACTGAGAGATAAAAACTGCTGCATCACTCACAGACAATCAAATATTTATGGCCAAAACCTGGTTCACATCCAGCAGAAATGACTCCTTAATTTAACCCAGGTGTTGGCATTCAGCCATTTGACTACGAGCTTATGAATTAATGTCATAAATAACCGGACCATCACACACTGTTTGGGTCATTTGAGGTAAGATTTAATAAGGGATCTCATGATTTGTAGCTTCGGCTGTTGTTTTAATCAACAAATGGAAAATAACATATTTTTATCATACAATATTATATCGTATATTCTTGATTAAAGTCTCGTACATGTCTTCTATTCATCAGTGTCAGATGAAGCCCGTTGGTGCAGCAGTGGTTGTCGGTGGTCTTCTGCACAAATAGGTGCAGCAGTGGTTGTCGGTGCAGTCACAGTGGTGCAGCAGTGGTTGTCGGTGCAGTCTTCTGCACAAACTTTTTCATCTTTCCTCTGCTGCACGCATTAAAGAACCTTTATTTCAGGGAACTTAATTAGCGAGTAAATGGCAAAGAACAAGAGCGAACAAAGCACTGCAGTCAGCCTTTTCTCTTCACACTTGTATATATTGCACAGATGCAGTTTTAATCCCTGCAAATCTTTTGAATTATAGATCCCATCCAGATTTGCAGCGTCAGGAAAGAAAAACACTGGGACGTGTTAACAAGTGAGCGTCTCATTCTGCCCAAGCAGTCACGTTCTTGAAATCCGAGCCCGTTTTATGTCCCTACAAACTGAATTGATTACAGCACGACGAGCTCCGAACACAGTGTTCACTCCGCAGTAAAACATGGCAGCATCCTAGTTGATGATAAACCAAAACCCTCGTTCAAATGGGAAATCCATGCAGCGCTGCTGCCAGTTCTGCCGGAAGGTTCTGGATCGGCCTGATTACTTTGGGCTGACTGCAGCAGATCGCAGTAATCCTTAAATTCCTGATGTTTGTACCCTTCTCCTTCTTTATGTGTACACTGTACAACGTTCTCTGCGTCTGCATAATCGTCTGTCAAAGTACATAAATACATTTACATATCATCCACCGGACACTGCAGTGTGTGAAGGAGCAATTTAGTGCATGACTTGCTGCTTGGTTTCATAATCAGAATCCCGGCCTCACCTTGAGACCCTGTCATCAGTCAAAGCTGTCCTGAAACTGACTTAGTGGCAGAGGGGGAGGAGAAAGAGGAGGGAGGAGACAGAAGGTCAGATAAGGACAAGTGATGCTGTGTGAAGAATGGGGGAATGAAAGCGATGGACTTCCAGCCAGGGTTACTTCTACCTCAGAGAGAACTCTGGCCATGGATCCTGGAATGTAAGAAATTGTTCATGGTACTTTTCTCAAAATCTGGTTCTCGCTAACGGCCTATTAGCATTAATAACATGGAGATGAAAGCCCATTAATAGGTACTGAGCAAATAAAACACAAACACAGTGAAGGCCTCGGGAAAAACAGCCTGCTTTCATGTGTTTGCAAACGACATAACAACAAAACACCAAAGGTTGAGGATAAACAGAGGACGCCCTGTAATAATAATAAGATTAATAACAATAATCATAGAAAATATTATTATCAAGGTGTCAGTGACTCAAACTTCATGTCCTGCTGACTTGGGTTCAGACTTCAAACTTAATATGAATCTTGTCACAGATGCATTCAAGTACATCCTATATGTTAGTGAGTGTGTGAACCCTCCACAGTCAGCATGTGTACACAGCAGGTCTCATTTCCTGATCCTCCGGTCAGATGCTGGTTTCTCTTTTGAGAGCGGAGCCCACAATGACATCAGCTTCCGCCAACACACCAGCCGTCGCTATGGCACCACACAAAGACATTTCTGACCCAGAAAGAGGGGGTGGGGGGACATTCTTGAAACATTTATAGGAGAGGTCTCTACCCTTCTCCTCTTTTATGCCCATCCCCTCCCCCCCTCCCCCCCCCCCCCCCCT